CACATACACACACACACACACACACGCACACACACACACACACGCACACACACAGCCAATAGTATGTATAACAACACTCTCTTTTACCTCTTATTTCTGTTTGGAACATTGCAACTAATGATTAATGATGAAATACCTAGCTGATAACAAGCCTTACTGGGGTTGTTTTTTTTTGGTGTGGTGTATTGTTGTTGTGTTTTTTTTAAATTATAGTATTTATTGATTATGATAGCAACAGTCCCCCTGTGTAGTTTACTTTTCTCTCTAGGTGGGGCGAGTTAGGGGCGTTTTTTGCTTTTCATCTTTTCATAAAAACAGATCGATCTATTCATCTGCAACTTAAACCAAATATCTCACATAACAAGATTGTTCACTTAGCCAAAAAAAAAAAGTGTCCACGGAAGTCCGCGCATAGCTTCAGATGGCGCTGCATTCTTTGTTTTGAAGCACTCTTTCGTTTCTCCAGAAGAAGAATAGGAATAGCTACAGTTTGTTAGTTTCGCTTTTATTGTTTTTCACACAAGTAGGGTAACTCTGTTCGCAAAGTGAGCACTTTTTCAGTGACACTTTTTTTAAATTGGCTCAAAGAGAGGAGTGAACCATCTTGTCATGCACGATCTTTGCATTAGCAATGTAATCGAAGGTTCAAAACAGCAACGCAAATGCCACACCAAAGATCGTGTATAAAACAGATAGTTCAATCCTCTCTTTGAGCCAATTTAAAAAAAAAAAGTCCTCAACATTCGGTGACGGCCTCTTCGAAAAAGCTCGGACTTTGCGAACAGAGTTACCCTACTTGTGTGAAAAACAATAAAAGCGAAACTAACAAACTGTGCTCTTTCTTTTCTTCTTCTAGATTCTAGAGAAATGAAAGAGCTTGATCAGAACCTTGACCATCAATAATTTATTTATAGAGGCACCAGCCATCCATGTTCATGTGCTGTTTTAGCCAGAGCTTCAAAACAAAGACTGCAGCGCCATCTGAAGGAATGCGCGGACTTCCGGGGACATTTTTTTGTTTTTTGGCTGAGTGAACAATCTTGTTATATACGATCTTTGGCCATACGTAGAACAAACGTATACCTACTGATCAGATCCGTGCTGTTTTGATCAATAACAGAGACAGCTTATCGATCTCGTCGCTAGGGTTTAGCGTTTCGTCGATCGACTCACCTGGGCTGTCAAGTCTCTCAGCTCGGAAACTGATGATTCAGCAATTTATGCAAGGTGTTCAAAATTGGGGGGAGAGGGGAGAGGACGGGAGAGGACGGGAAGACAATGGGAGCGATACAGCGAGGAAGACTGTTAGGCGTTATGTTGATAGTTTTGGTGGTAAGCGAGAGAGAGAGAGAGAGAGAGAGAGAGAGAGAGAGAGAGAGAGAGAGAGAG